TTCAGATGAATAATTGCATTCCAGACTATCTTAATTAGATGTCTCTTTTCGCACATGCCTGTCTTTTAGCATCGTGCAAGGATCTTACGAGGTATGGAGGGACAATCCCTCCTCGCCTTGTGGGTATAGCACTTGCAGCTTGGGGATCCCCTCTATGGTAAAGCAGAATCCTGTTTTCCTTCATTGTCCCATCCAGGCATGGCCGGGCACTGTGCCAAGCTGTTAGAGGAGACAGGCGTGCTGTGCATGCTGGTCATCTCCCCATCCACCCCGTGCCCTCCCCTTGGTCCAAGGATCACACAAGCTCTCTTTCCTTGACCAAGTAAAGTCTGAGAAGTTCAGGACTGAAAATGATGTTCTCTTTCATATATAACATCTCAAGTACACATGCATACACTGAATAGGGAACTAAAAGAGGTGCTGAGAAAAAGAGTGTGAGAGAGCGTTGAGTTATTTGACAGTGATTGTTCCCAAAGTATGAATTAGCTGGAATAGACTGGCCTGGAACTGTTGTATAGGAGTTGAAGCACATCAATTTTGTTGGCAGGGTTTGCTGTATCCTCTTCTTTCAATAACTAAGGTGTAACACCAAACATATTTCTTGATCCACTTTGTGTCTAACTCAGGTTACATAAAGAATACACCTTTAAACTGCCTATAAGCCCTTGACCCTACAAGTTGGATCCAGATTTAGTTAAACATAGAGCGGACCCACTGAAATCAATGAGGCTTAAGCTCAAAGGGTTTACTGCAAAGTACAATGACTCCTAAATTTCACTTTCTATGAGCTGCTGGGATGGCAAGGAGCCTTCCTACAAGCGGTGAAATTACCCATTCAGGGTGAACTCAGTGCTGAGTTTCAGCCAGTTTGCTCATTGTTTCTTCTTCAAGAACATTGTTGAAGAGCAGCAGAGTTGACACGTTTGCGTTTGCATGGCCAAAATGTTGCCATCTGTTTTCCTAAAACTCAACAGCAGGTTCATTTTCTAGATGTTAGTGTCTCCTAAATGTTGGTGTCCAGTAGTTATGCAGTTAATTAGGTAATTGACTCAATTCCTTGAAAGGGCTTCACTAAACCTACTGATGAATTGGGTGTACAGTGCACTAGCAGCATCATTTTTAATCCGGGATCCTGAATGATTCTGGATGAACCCCTCTTGACTGGACCATGGCACGCTTCTAGCATCTGTACATACTATTCATCTGGAATGAGGACTGGATTGTCAGTATGAGAGCAGTGTGGGAATTTAGATCCATCAAAGTTTTGACTTTCGTTTTTTACTGATTCCACACCACCTGGACTGAACATGAGAATCTGTAGTCAGAGATCTATACATTTCCACCAAAATATTTCTGATAATGTGTGTGCATGTGGAAAAGGTAGGGAAATTATTTATTTACTTCACTGATTTATAAAACAAATGAACAAACTAACAATTTAAAAAAACAGCAATGAAATAATAAAATGAGAACACTGCTTATTTTCTAAAATGTACATGAGCGTACTTCAGTCAGTGGTGGCATTCTCCATTAATACACTCATCTCAAAATGCATCCAGAAATATGTAACATTGGAGGCTTCTGATGTTTACAAAACAAAGGACATAGAATGGGGATGGACATAGCACTTGGCAGGGATGGGAACTTGAGTCGCGGAACTTGAGTTGCGGAACAAATCACACTGGCAACTCAACTTGGACTCAACTTGGGTTGTTTGTTCAACGACTCAGACTTAACTCACAACTTGGAACCTACTCCTCCCTTTTTCTCTGGGGGGGGGAAGCTTATTTTTAATAGGGACTCAGACTTGGGACCTCTGGAGCAAGGCTCTAATGTGATTCTGTCCAGAGACAGCAAAAGGAGAATGAAGGAAGAGCAAATAAATGGAGATGATAACACTGCTTATCCCTAGTCAATACTCTTTTTGGTTTTGAGGGAGCCCTGTGCTTTCTGGGCCCCTTTCTCTACTTTTTCCCCTTCAAGGAAAGTGTAACAGGGAATGAAGCCCATTGGCTTGACAGCTCAAGCAATGTACAGGATCATCTCACAGCAGGCCATGACTATCTCTGTTCTGGCCGCAGGAATTCAGCCAGGCATGCTTGCACTCAATCATGTGAGCCCCTCTGTTTCACATTCTTGGTGCATGTTTTCCTAGGAGTGGTGTTTTGCAGCAGAAATGAGATGGAGCAGCCCATGTTCTCCCTAAAACTGCCCAGCCTTGGGTACTTTTACCACCCAGCAGTGTTCTTAACTCAGATTTACTTTGTATACACAAAACTGTATGGAGAAGTTTTTAGGGGAAACCCTCTGCCAGGGAGAAAGTTAAAATTCCCCTCTTCCTCTCCCCTCTTCCTCCACAGAAAAGCATTCCGAAAGACAGTGGGCTATCTGTGCTATTTTTATACATTAGCTCTATAGAACCTTGAGGACTAGTTGACTTCTTAAATAAAATGAAACAATCATGATTCTGGATACTAATTACATCTTGTTGCGCTATCACAGTGATGAAGATTTCTGGCCACCCATGGACAAGTGCCCTACGAAAATGAAACAGCACCAATCAAACAATACCAGTTGAGTTAGGTATACTAACTAAAGAATTGCGAAAACCAAAATTACTTATATTTGTGTTTTTAAATAAAAAAACATGTGACCATATACAGAAGAGCATCAGATCTACAGATCTCTGTGGTATTCAGTCATTAATGATCACAACCCATAGAACCCATGCTGCTTCAGTAGAATCTCATATGGGCTCCCCATGAATTTAATGAAGACAATCCTACCTCATCTATTTTAAAACATTTTAGGAATTTAATTTGTTACTTCCATCTACTGCACCTCAACTGACCTGAGTTAGTCAAAAGTTCCTGATTTGAAGTGGGAAAGCAATTTACATGATTGTGTGGGGTAGGCAAGTCATGACCTTCTATTAGACTGATGAAAGCAAAAATACTAACATCAAAATCATAAACATATCTTAAAGAGCAAAACATGCACTGTAGATTGATTTCCTAATGGTAACTCTTGTGTTGCTGCTCTCGGGGATGGCCCTGCTGGTACATTTCAGTGCGAGCAAGGCTTAGGAGTCAAGGATGATTGGAAACGAGCAACTATTCTTGTATAGAAGGAAAGAAAATGCATTGCTTAAAAATTTTAACAGGATGGAGTTCCATAGCAAATGAGCGTTATCAGTTCAGAGTCAGTATTGAGAGTTGTGATTTGCCACTCAAGAAGCTGTCCATTCCAAGTAGGCATGCTTAGAATGGAGCTTTGATTGGTATGACTGGTGATGGGGATATCCAAACTGGTAAGAATGTCTTACTTTCAATGCAAGTTGACCAAGAGTTAACAATGGAGTTAGCTTGTGACAACATTTAGAATGGAGCTTTGATTGTTATGATTGGTGATGAGGATATCGAAACTGGCAAGAATGTCTTTCTTACCTTCAATGCAAGTTGACCAAAAGTTAACAATGGAGTTAGCTTGTGACAACAATGGACCACATTATGGGAATGTTCAGGATTGTTCCCCAAGAACATTCATTGGGGCATGGGAGAAAGGACTGCCATTTGTTGGCAGCATTATTTGAAATGACAGAGACCTCCAACAGAACCACGGTGGAGTAGCAAGTCAGAGCCTACGCTGAATGGAGTTGGCCACTTCAAGGAGACTTGCTGGACCTCTCAAGAAAGAGTGCCTCCAAGCAAAATATGTTGGACATCTCCAGAGAGACCACATTCTAGGTGGCTGTGTGATCAACACGACCAACACAATGAGGTGGCAAAAGGCCAAGGCGGTGGAGCAGATGGTAATAGTTCCAAGTCCAGGTGAGGAATTCCATATTTTTATTGCTCCTCAGTGATATGTTTCTTAAACCTTCCCTTTGCAAAACAAAAGCTAACACTAAAAATATGTTGCCTGCTGCCTGCTATGCTCATTTTTTCTTGCAGGAAGATCTGGTGGTGGAACCTTGTCAGTTATTCCCTTACTGATAGTCTGAAGTGGTATCTTTCATCCTACTGCGCCATCTTACCACTTCATTCCCTGCTCCCTGGTGATAGTCTGAAGTGGTATCTTTCATGCACCATCTTACCACTTCATTCCCTGCTCCCTGTGGCATGGTGATAAACTTTCCAAGACAGCAATCAGACAGAGTTCCCTCCTTGACTTCTTGTTGACTTTGGCTTCTGTTGGAAAAGGACTTCCTTGTCAACACTGCTTCCTGCATGTGGCCGACCCCTCAAGAAAGAGTGTGCACCAGTTGAGGAAGTGATCATGAAGAGACACACTTCCCATAGCAATTCATGTAGCAGCTATGCAAAGCCCACTTCCATTTTGAAAGCTGTATTTCCCAAGAGGGGAGCTTCTGGATCGCCAGATGTTTAGACCAACAGCTCCCCTTGGCCCCCCCCAACAAAGGCAGGTGCTAATGGATTGTGGGGGTTGTAGTTCAAAACATCTAAAGGGCCAAAGATTTCCTGCCCCCATCTTGTTGCAGAATCGCATCCACCTCTCACTGAGGGCTCCCCTTTAAGTAATAGGGTACCTCTCATTACTTACTGTTCTCCTTCATAGGAGTGTGTATCAGATAAGATGTGAGAGACAGAATCAAGGCTGCAAAGATGTTGTGGCTCACTTCTGTTCTTGCAGTGATCTTTCTGATCAAGAGGTCTTTTTAAAAGGTAATGTAAAAAAAGAATAAAATAATTCTGCCACCTATTTTCCATTTATGCAGAGAAGGCAAATGCATCGATTAAAACATCAAGCACATTTCTTCAGTTCATGCTTCACATGGTCTCCTGTACATGTAGAAGGTTCTTTTCTGCACACAGCCTTGCAAACACGAACACTCCAGATGTGTTATATATCTGCTGCTTCTTTACAGAGCCAAAAGAAATATTAATCATCTTGTTCCATAGTAGGGGATGGGATCTCCTCTCATATTTCAGAAAGGGGCTGGGAAGGAAAGGAAGCCAACGGTTTCCCTATTTAAGGCCAAAGCTGAGGAATGCCTGTGGCTGCGTTCTGTACAGGGCCCGGTGGCTGACAGGGCAGGAAACCGTTGATGGTGCTCTCTTGTTTTTAATTTCCCCCTTCTTTTTTCTCTTTTGCACATAGAGTCTCATGTCTAATACGATTTAGACATGATGAGCTGTGTGCAGGGAGCCTTTTTGATCTTCCTTGCTGTGTGGCAATCCTCAGTTATTTTGGCACAACAAGATGGTGAGTAATTCCCATTTAATTATTTTCATGGATTTTAATCACTTCCCCCCACCCCCAAACTTTTTAAGAAACTTCTGTGCTTGCCAGAAATCAGAGTTTTCTTTCTCCACTTCTGTGCTGTGAGCTAGTTCAGGGATCTTGCTCAAATCATCTGCATGATATAGGAAAGTCCTTTAGAAAAGAAGAAAATTGGCTATTGACTTAAGTGTCTGTGCAGTTTCCCCTCAGCTTTATGAGTCTTGCCTCTCCTTGCTTAACAAGCACCGGGAACTGTGGAATATGCCTTTCTTTTCTGCCCTTGGCATAACATCTGAGAGTGCTTGTTCCATGAAACCTGGAAATAATTTGTTAGCTTTAACAAGACTAGATGTTCGGCCGTTCTCTACATGACTGTTCTTTGTTTTATAAGGAGCTTTGCTTTGGTATAACAGGGATAGGGGTATCTTGCCGAAAAGAGACTTGAAAAGAAAAGGAAGCAATGTATTCGCGAAGGCTTTCACGGCCGGGATCTAATGGTTGTTGTGGGGTTTTCGGGGTCTTTGGCTGTGTTCTGAACAACCTTCAGAACATGGCCAAAGAGCCTGAAAAACCCACAACAACCAGTCCCAGAAGCATTTTTGCAAGCCAGAATGGCTGATACAGAATGGCTTTGGAAACCATTTCTAGCTGTCTCTGTGTGCCTCTGTCTATGTGCTTGTGCAGGCATGTGCCTGGTTCACTTCTGTTAGCAGAAGAGCTGATGTATCCACACAGTGGTAAGCTTGCTCCATCACTCATCAGAGGCTGTTTCAAGCTATACATGAGCTGCTAAGAACAAAGGATCCTGCAGTTCTGCACACGCATACCTGAGAGTTGGCAAGTTAAGATCAGTGGGACGTACACCTGAGCGAACATGCTTAGGGCTGCGCTGCACATGGTCTGCACAGTGAAAAAGGAAGTCCATCAAACTGGATGGAGACCGAATTGTTTGCCCATTCGATAAAGCTGCTGCTAGGAGATCTGGTTTCTTGTTTGACTTATAAATCAGTAGGTAGGTTGAGAGCCTCAGGATATGCTGTGATAAGTTACCAGACCTGTGCAAAACTTTTGTGAATCCATAACCTGATGTGCAAAACTAATCCATAACAAGCTTTTGCTTATTGCTTGCCACAAACCACTTATGCAATTTACAGTTATAGGAAGGGATGGCTGGAGTCAACAGGCAGGAAAGCCTCCCATGAATCTGTGCCTGCACTATCCCACAATTAGTTTTTCTGGCAGAATGCAAGCTTTGTTTATGAAGAAAGCCATGAGAGAAAATGAACAGCAAATAACAATCTCTGTCATCCTCCAAAGATATATGTAGTTGTTGAAAGATCGTTTTTTTTTTTCACACCTGCAGAGATTTGCATGCTGCCACCTGGGGCGAGGGAGGAGACATGCTCGAACTTCATTTGCTAATAGGAAAGGCACCGTTTTTGACGCCAATACCCCTCCTTGCCCCCAAAATAAATTATGCCAGTCCAAAGTGATGGGATTCTTTCCTGTATGTGTTCACTTTTGTGTGGCAATTGAGTGTGAATATGGACTTTTCAGTATTTACACAAGACTGGTGAGGGAGATTTTTGCCCTCCAATGATGTTAATAAGCTACCACTCCCATCATCTCCCACCACTGGTCAGGCTGGTTGGGATTCATGGGCACAGGAGTCCAATGAGCACTAGATATTACATTAGTACCCACCATTCTTCATTAATTGATCCATTATCAGTTAAATTATATATGGGGAGCTTCTCCTGTATCCTTGTTGGCTTTTCACATCTAGCTGGACTCAATTGCTTATTTCTCATTGCAGAGAGCAGTGGGTGTGGGGTGCACTTAGAGACAGCCCTGGCCCCGTGGACCAGGGGTTTTGTAGTTCTGAGGTTTGCACATATGTTCTCACAAGCAAATCAAACACATCTTAACAATGAGCCTTTCCCTAGACAGTTTTGTGTTTCCCACAAGTGTTTCCATGCAAAGCATGATTTTTTTTAACCTCCAGAGCAAAAGCTATTCAAAGTGCTGAGAGATACAACGCAGGCAGTAAATCAGCCATAGAATGGAGCTACCATGGATGGAAACAGACTTCCTAAATGCCCTACATTGTTCTGTGTCCACAGTAATGTTTCTATGGTTAGCAGCGTCAAATGGATATCCAGTGTGATGTAGTGGATAGAAAGATGGACCAGGACTCCAGAGACTTGGGTTCAAATGTCTGCTTCATCCTGGAAACTCACAAGGGGTTAAGGGGTGGAACTAGTTAAATCACTCCATAAATATCTCACTTACCTTGAAAGTCCCACCGGGGTCAATATAAATCAGCTCCTACTTGACAGCAGGTAACATGACATAAGAGCAACAAATGGGTGTCAGTATACTGCTTCTTTTGAATATTCCTTGCTGAAAACCTCTGGCAAAATATTTGGGAAGCTGCTAAGTGTATGCTGAGAATAATCAGATTGTAGCCCTCATCAAGAAGCCCCCCCCTTTGCCACAATAACTAAGATACTCAAAAGAGGGAGATGAAATAGACTTTTACCTTGATTCTGTCATACTAGTGCATGGCAATGCAAGAAAAGCTTGAATTGCAATGTCCCTGTTTGGCTGCTGAGATGCCCCATCCTGTCATCTTTCTGCACTGGTGCAGCTCATCTTACCGCCAGGTCATAACCACGTCTGTATCAGGATGTATGAATATCTGACAATGGTAGTTAGGGATTGTCAGGTGGCCAGCTTGCCAGGCCCTTTCCTTCCAGTGTACTGGAGCCCCAGTGAAAGGCCATCTAGTGGATGATCGTTCTTCTTGTGCAGTACGCTCACATCCTAGAAAGCGTGTTTGCATTACTACTATCATTGCCTATCCTCTGAAACTGCCTGACATTTATTCTTATGGTGCCAGAACTCTTAAGCTTGCTCATTCTTGGACAATTTGCACATGAAAGGTGCCCAGTCAGTGCAAGGGTAGGCAGGTAGGTCATGGCCCATCAGGTGCATGTGCCCACCCTCCCCATGTGCCCCAAGCTGCTCTCTAAAGACTAATGTCAACGAAATTCAGAAGGAAACAAAATGCTTGCTTTAAATGGAAAATATGTTGGCATGATTTGTCATTGATTCTTGGTGGCAGGACCATGATAAGGAAGTGGTACAATCTGTGGTGGGTCCTAGGGAGGCAATGCAGGCTCTCTGGACCCAGCGCAGTCACCCACCCCATGGTTCATACTATAGATCCTTAATCAAGCATATAAATAGAGGATTTCCTAGCATGTTTCCCACCCACCCCCTCTCCTGTCATAATGCGAACATACCAGTAGCCCTGAGCTTTAGCTAAAATGAAAATCAAGATATTGAAATATCTGGGTTCCAGCCCTGGCAAACGAACTTGGAGTTTCATGCTTGCTCTTCATGCCGAATGCCTTGCTTTCGAATGCTTAGTGAAAGTGTGATGTGATTTGGAATGACAGTTCTGCTTTCAGGACGATGCCTTTTCACTTTCTGGACATCAAGGATAAATGGAGTCATTTTTTGGTACTCATTGGTGAAAGGGAGGTGATATTAACAGGCACATTTGAGATAATTTTTTCCCACTGCAGGATTAATTGCCTCCAGGATCTCATTTCTACACTACTTGTAATCTGTGGCTACCACTTCCTTAGAGCAGCGTCTGGTACCACAGCTGCCTCATCTTGATCTAATAATCATGCGGTACTGGCCAGTTATGTGGGACTGGGACCCCCATCAGCAGAACACTGCGCCTTCCCAGGGGGTTAGAAGTAGTGCTGGGCAGAACATGTTCCACACCCTCCATATGAACCATGCAATTATTAGATTTAAACGTTCATATTGGAACCCGTCCATGGTGAAGCAGCAACCACATGCAACAGCAGTAATGTAAAAATCAGCTTTAGATTTCCCTCCCCAAAGAGAAAACATTGAACAAACGGAATCACACGTCATCTGCAATAAAGATCTAGGCAGCAAGTTAAAGGATATAATGGGATCTTCTGGTTTTGCAATTATGATACAATTTTTAAAATGTATTTATTTTTTTTGCTGACTCCCACAAACAGCTGGCACAGAGTACATTTGCTGGCACTGAAGTAGTGTACTAATATGATGAAACTAATGGCTCATGTCATATGAGCGGGCAAATGCAATATTGCCAATCACAGTGTACAAATGGGAGAATGATGGAGCATGATCCACATTTGGGGGTTACTTAAGAAACCCATTAATTTAAGGGTGGTTCATATGTTACTTTTTATATTCAATAACTGATGGCTTTCATTACAATTCCTGGGCATATGCCATTCATAAAGGACTCATGAATGATACAAATAACCATGGCACTAGCCTGCTTTGCCCTGGTTGTCCTATTATCACTTACTTGCAGGTTGTAGGCAAAAGCTGCGGTGCAGAGACAGGATGCTGTTCATGGGAAATTCTGCACATTGGAAGTAAGGGGGGGGGTGAAGCTTGTTCAGTGCTTACCTACTTCAGTTTATATAAATTTTCCTTTTCAAATCAATGTGTGAACTGGTACTCAAAATCGATATTTCTTCTGCCATTACAAGCATGCACACGCATGCATGCGCACACACATGTGCACACAAAATGCATATACTACTAAAAATTATGTTACAAATGCTTCCAATTAGGAAAATTCTTTGCCTAAATTATATTAAATGGCATATCAAAGTTATGTAGGAGGGAAATGCACAGCGATTTTCACACGCACCTTTGAAAAAATTCAGAATTAATGATGGACTCAGGTCAAGATAGGAAACATGAAGGACAATTCAAAGGCCAGAAAAATGAAAATTTGAAACTGAGAGGTTCATGCATCCCTATCCAGAACTGGTTTCCAAGTGCAAAATGTAGCAGATGAACGGTGAAGTCATGGTGGCGTCTGCCAATACGTTGTAAAAATGTGTTTACACTCTATTCCAGAATATACTAGTGCTATTCATAGACTAGTCTTC